TTATTATTATTATTATTATTTCTGCAGTTTAGCGCCATCTGCTGTCAGAGAGTGAAAGTGCGCTTTCATCCAGAGCGTCTCTTACATGTTCCGCCATGCGCTTCTCGTCCGTGCTTGTTTAGGTCAGAGTGCGCACGCATCTTTCATGCAGCATACGGCGGTGTTGTGCATTTTGACCAGTTTATGGGAAAAGTATTTTTAAAATGCATTCAAAATTCTGAATAATTTGTAATATATAATTATTCACGGTATTTAGAAGTGCCCACGATAACAATATCGTGCATATTCATTACCGTGATATATCGCATTACCGAATACCGGCACAAGTCTAGCTACAACAAACAATAGCCAATCCCACCTCCCTAAATAAGGACATTCCAACATCCCAAAAGGTGAAGTGTGCCATTTCTGCACCACTAGTGGGAACAAACTGTAGGCTTCCCAACACTAGTCTCCCAATGACTGGACAAAAAAGTGGTTCCATCCCAAAATGCCACTGGTTCAGCCAAAGTGTCTACGTTGGGTTAGTTGGAACAATTAAAGAGGGAATTCACCGCTGGCAAGACAGGCTTTTAATAAAACTTGGCTGTGTCTATGCACTAGAAACACAAAATAATTTTTTTAATTGCTGCTACATGACTAGACAAAACAGAGAAAGAAAAGCCCTGAAGCTGTCCAAACATTTCCGGATGACGCAAAATAATGCATTTTGCATCATCCAGCAGATTTTTGCTGACAAATAAACAGGAATCATGGTGCAGGAAACTAGTGGTATACTGATATATCGCCAAGGCCTATATATTAATTGACCAATATTTTGCATTTTCATCATCGGCCGAGAAGTTGTTCTGTTTGGCTGATAAGCGTCAGAAGCAGCTTTTATTTTGACAGTGCTATTAAGAAATCCAGCACGTGATTGCAGATGTGAGCATAATCTTTAAATCATTGATTACAAACTATACTGTGCTATATCCATTTACTTCCATTTATGACATATGTCACTGTGTACTGAATGTAAAATTAGCATTGCATGGTCTTTAAGAAAATTATTCCAAGTGTGCAAAAACTTACCAGATTACCAAATGCACTGTTAGTGTTTACTTCCTTTTTATTAATGTTTTTTTTTTTACTATTTCTTTATTTGTGAAAAATAATTGGATTACAGAACCAAGAAGTTGCTAAAAGCATTTTTTATCAAGTTACAATATTTTACAATTAATTTTCTAATTTAGTAAAAACGTAAAATAAATTCAATTTAATTGTAGCAATTGGTATGCATGCTATTTAAATTAAAAGGTGTAATATAATAAATGTCAACTTTATATCAGCCATCACAAAATTCATATCAGTCGACCACTACTACAATTAACACGGAGAAATACACTGTAATAAAGCTGGTTGAAAATCTGCAAACTTATCTGTTGAATGCATAAAAAGCATTAAAGCGGTCATAAACAATTGACAACATTGTCAACATTATTTCAGAACGTGGTCAAACAGCTAAACTAACAGACTGTGAACATCAGCACATCTCCTCATGGGGCGATAGGAGTCAAAAAACATGCGGTCACTAAATTTAGATGTTCTTTATGTAGCAATAAGCAACATGCACACATAGAGGAGGGGTGAGGGTGGGTGTATTTAAAGTTCCTATACGGGTTCATGCTGGTTGTGAAGGGCAGGCATCCAAAGAGGTCATAAAGCAATGGTAACAGGAAGTTCAGCAGTTTTCACAGATGAACAAGTGTGATTCTGGTTTCCAGGCCTTAACTTAAAAAAAAAAAAAAAAGAAAATTGTTAAATTTAATAGACGTATATACACTATAAAATATAGACCTATATGCTTTGTGGCAGATACCATGGTATCTGATGTCAATGCCATTGTACTTTCATTAAATGGATTAATGGAGTGCAGATCTATTAATTACAAATTTGTTTTTGTTTTTGTTTTAGTCAAAAAAGGAAATTTTGACATTGCTTGATTTGTACCACCTGACATTTAAGAGCCAATCAAATCAAACCTTTTTTCGAAAATATCATCAACGTTTTCCAAAACAAAACATGACTACAAATATTACATTTCTAAGAACATGACACGTTTTAAACTAGATTTATAAATAATAAATAATACGTTTTATTTATATAGCGCCTTTCCAGAGCTCAAGGACACTTTACAATAAACATCAGAAATGTGAGGATAACATCAATCAAACAATAATACAGGAAGTAAAGTAAAGCGAACATCAGACAACCAGAGAGCAATATATGGAATAAAAGAAAAAAAAATAAAGAAATCATTTTCATTTGGTATCTGTATATACTGTACACACATTACAGCTCTCAAAACTGAAAGTAAACCAAAATAATGAAGAGCAGAATAAAAGACCTCAGCAGAAAAGTAGTTTTCAGAAGTCAGAAACTATTTTTTTTTAAATGAAAAATGTCGAATACGTTCAAAAACTCTGCATTTAGCATTTCCATTAAATACAGAGAAAATAAATGTTTTCTATTCGCAAACCTGAACAAATGTTTCCCTTCATACTGACATGTATCTTCAGCGTAGACTCGCACACATGAATATGGATATTCAAATATTAAACTCAGGTTTTGGCTTTTAGATGATATTGTAGCCTACGTTTGTCAATAAACTCGATCATTTAACTCCAGCTGGTGTGCTGCATTGAACCGCATTGCTTGTGTAACAAATGCACACATCTATATGTACATTTGTGCTTAGATGAGCATTTTATGAAGATGCGTGCCAAATATACATCAAAGATCGCAATTCAGCACTGACAGCCTGTTAACACAAATCCTGAATCACATCTCTACTAAAGCTATGTAAAAACATTGCGATGGACGGAAATCGACTCGTGTTGTTACCAACATGCCTGCTGCTTTCTTTAGGCCAAATCACACCGCAATGCTGGCTGAAAACACAACGCTTGTGCATTAAAATATTGCTTAATATAACAAAATACATGCGTTAACCATATGCTTACCTCTTATCGATCATCAATGGTGTCTGTTGGCTAGTTGTGCATGGTATCTGAAAACATATGGGCTGATAAAAAAATCCTTGTTTTTCGTCAATTAGACACATGCATGATTTTCCTCTCTCCACGGCGATATGAAATGCACGATTTCATATCAAACGGAGAAACGGGTGGTCCTTACAGTAATCTCAATCTCCGATGCGTGTGGGTTTTATAAACGCGTGTCGGTGAGAGCATATTGAGGATGATGATGTGAAACTGATGTGTTGATGATGGCTGTATGTGGTGGTGGAGGTAAGGGAACGAGAGGATCCAATTTCAGCGTCATTCTTAAAGAGATATTCACACACCGATAATGTCATCTCGTGGTGAGAATTTTGATTCATCAGCGAGTCGAGTCTTTTAAATTCATTCACTAACAAGATTCATTCAGGGGCCGTTTCTGCAGGCTATCCTTACCCCAGGATAACGTTAGGTGGCAAAAAAGCGAGTGACTGAATCATTCTCTCAACTGATTCGTTCAAAAAACGAGTCGTCAGGAAATGTAATACGCCTTTTCCCTGCAAAGAAAAACGTTCCTCCATTTGACCGCTGCCGAGTTTCATCGATGTCATTTGTCATTTGTACACATTCATTATTTCTTCATCCTCTTTCTCTTCTTGAATGAGAATATAGTTCATTCTAGTAAATTATGTATATTTATATAATAATTGTGCTCTTTACGAACGACATGTTTCCTTCGGTGTCTCTGAAGTCTCCTTTACAACATCTACTGGTACAATGAAGGGGCGTATTCGTTTAGTATATCCAACCAATGAGATGCTCTCTACAGTCCGCACTCAAATGCTATTGGCTCTTGAGTCAGGAAAACAGTCAAGTGCCTTCGACGCCGGCTCACATTGAAAATGAATGACTTCCGGCCACTTTGACGCTCTCGACGGCGGCGGTGTGAACGGTTAGTGAACGAAAAAGTTAAAGGGTTAGTTCACCCCAAAATGAAAATTCTGTCATTAATTACTCACCCTCATGTCGTTCCAAACCCGTGAGACCTTTGTTCATGTTCCGAACACAAATTAAGATATTTTTGATGAAACCTAAGAGCTCTCTGACCCTGCATTGACAGCAATGCAACTGTAATGTTCCCAGTCCCAGAAACATAGCAAGGACATCGGTAAAACAGTCCATGTGACATCAGTGGCTCAACTTCAATTATGTGAAGCTATGAGTCCAGAATACTTTTTGTGTGCAAAGAAAACAAAAATAACATAATTTATTCAACAATTCTATGTTCTGGGGAAAGCGCACATGCGTCACATACTTTCCAAAATGGCAGAAGAGGTACCTCGGGGAGAAGAATTGTTGAACAAATTGTTATGTTATGTCATTTTTGGGTAAACTATCCCTTTAAGAGTCGAGAACAATTCGCTCACCTAAATGATTCATTAGACACAACCTATTCGTTCATGACACTCGTGAAGACCTCTCATTGATTTTTGTTGTTCGTAAATGTAGCTAATTAGCACTGACATTTTAATAAGAGTATTAAAACATTACTTAGTTTATTTACAAACTATTTTTCATTTACATGTGTAGTGATAGTATTACCATGGTAATCATTGAAACAGAATGATTACCTCATTCACCCCCATATATAAATGTTCCCCGTGGTCATTTTTTTTTGTAAGTGCCATTAGGAAGACAGATTTAGATGATCATCTGGAAAAATTTGAGCTATTTTTGTCCCGCAGAACTAAAGATAGGTCAGAACCACACACCACTGCACTCCAACTACATGGCAAACTATTTAATGAAGCACCATCCATCAGTAGGCTACTCTTCTCTAATCGCCATTCTCATTATTCTGATATTTTTAGGATATATTTTTCTATTTTGTCCCCCATTCGTGAATATGCTGGATAACAGGTAAAAGGGGCTGATCCATGCTTTCACCTAAAGTAAAATTATATTAAGCAGTCCCGGTACCAGAAATGAACGTTTCTTTTAAAGTTTTACAATATGTGTATTTATTTTAGAGTCATAAAAAAATCATTTTGTTATATTTGGTGATTTTAAAAAGCCCTAGTTATTTTCCAACCCACACCAGGCCACTCTAGACAACTGAAACTTTTAAAGCTACTTTTCAGAAACTTGGATTATGATTTAACCTGATGTTTGGTATTATAGCCTACACACAAAGTTTACATTATATTGACCGAACAAACAGGTGGGCTGTTCAAATGTTGACCCCCCCTGTGGTGAATAAATTAGGGCACTAGAACAGCTCTTTCGTCACATTTGGCAGTATTTTCCAAAAACGCATGCTAAATTCGCACCACAAATGTTCCTATATCACAGGACCACAGCCTGTGGTCCACAGGCAGGTGCCAAACCTTATTGGCAGTTTAAGGGCAGGACAAAGTATGATTCATGACACCCATACATAATTTTTTACAAATTATGAAAATGCAATTTCTTCTACTCCCCACCAGAGAGCAGTCAGTCTACATAGTTCACCCCTAGTGGCGTGATGGTGATTTTGAACAGGAACAATACAAGCACAGATTTGATACAGAGTTCTCACTTCCCACATCCCAAACGAGACGTCTTTAGTAATTACAGTAATCAGATTAATAAAGTACCTTTAATTTTAGCATTGACTCTAACTACCCAACATGGTTCCAGATCATTCACTTCCCAAACGCCAAATGCTGTGTAAATTAAATCCATCACCACAGTGACATGATTTTCCTCCATCTGTGTCACACTCCACCCTCCACTTCATCAGGCTCCATGAGGAAAGGAATCCATCCTCCGAGCCTCTTCCTGAGGAAACAGACAGCGGGCTAACTTAACTAACACATACAGGAACAATGAAACAGGCCTGACTAGATTTATATATATAATACATATATAATACACGGCAGATAATTTTACCAACTTTAGACGTAGGCTACAGCAAAACCCACTGTGTCATGATGCCAATATGGCTGAAATGGCGAAATCAGAGTAGATCCGATGGGGGATAAAGAAATGCTCTGGCCATTGGCGAAAAATCAATCAAGCATCGTATACTGTACTTATCAGTCGACATATTATTGACTGACACCAGTGGGACTATTTGCATTGGTTTAGATATTTAAAATAAGATTAAATGTATGTATGACTATATAAATTCATTACGAATACATAGTATTTGAAAAAAAAAGAACCACTAACTAATCAAAACTAGTTCTGTCCATTCACGACAACCTAAGCAAAAACTTGATTGTTTGACCAGAGGAACATTCCTCCCTTAAAGGAAAACAGGCTCAGAGTTACAGACAACCCTCTGTTTGGATCAACTCCACCTCAGTCCAGCAGTCCGAAAAAATACTGATGTGTGTGTGTGTGTGTGTGTGTGTGTGTGTGAGCGAGAGAGAATAAGAGCAGTGGTTTATGCATTCATAGCCAGGTTATGTCATGTTCCAGAACCTTTGCATTACTTAGACCAGTGAGGTCTGGGCTCTTCGGCTGAATTCCTCTTTAACAAAGCCGTTCAAAATGGCTCATGCAACAGACTGGACTTTGTGGCAAGATGCCAGCCAGCCACCAAAAAAAAAAGGTACAGTAGGAAGGTCTGTTTTTCTTCCAGTGGATTCACTGCCAAAGTGAGCGCCTATTTTCTTTTCTACCACTTTGTCTCAGATTTTGTTCACATGTGTGCTACTCTTCCCTCTCGACGTGCGAGGACATTCCTCACTGGTTGGCGATTCAACTTGCAGCACTTTTATAGAAATCGAGAGCATGTCATAATCCCCGGGGCTGTAAATGCCTGTGTTGCTGTTGTTGTAAATCTAAAGTTAATGCATCTGCAAATGTGCTTCCATTGCTTTCAGATGACATCCACCAATGCATTACATCTAAACTCTTAAGGTTCCTAATAGAACCAAAAACTACAAAGTTTTTTAAGTTCTACAAAGAATTTTTACAGTCCAGGTCTTTAGAAAAACAGTCTATGTGCTGGAATTTTAAAGAACGCAACAACCAATATGCTGATTTAAAATAAAGTCAAGAGTATTTTTAATCTCTGAAGAACCATTTAGGCCTTCGATGAAAAATGCTTCTTAATAAGGAGATCTTTAAAATGAACATTAACCACTAGTTTACTCAGACGTCAGCATCAATAAAGTCTTCTTTTTTTAATTATTCACACAGTTAGTTGGTTAGTTAGTAATATGTTCAGTAAAGTGTGTTTAGAAAGTAAATAGCGGCAATTTAGATTTCATGTTGACAAAGATATTTTATTAAATATCTATGGAAGCTTATTTCTGCCATGGAATTAAAAAAATATTATTATTTAAATAAAAGTCTTACTTTTTTTTACATTTTCTTTTAAATTCTGAGTTTATAGTATATCTCACAATTTATTTATTTTGTATAAGTTTGCAATTCCGTCTCTCTGAAAAGGGTAGAACTCGCTATATTGAGAAGAAAAGGCAGAATTATGAGATATAAACTCGAAATAGCAAAGAAAAAGTCAAACTTGTTTTTGCTATGGAAAAAAAAAAATAACCGTAATTGTGACTATTTTTTTCTTGAAATGACTGGTTTATATCTTATAATTCTTTTTTCTTAGATTTGTGAGTTTGTATCTTGCAATTCTGAATTTAACAGTTCTGCTATCTCGCAATTCAGAATTTTTTGTTATCGGACTTGTGAGATATATAGGCGCAATTAGCTTTTTTTAAATTCTGTTCTGAAAATAAGTTTCTATAAATATTTATATATTTAATATTAAATACTTATTTAGAAGTCTTTTATGAATGGGTAATATTTCCCATGTGTGGTTTCCACTGTGTGGCCCCTGATGAAGTCTGGGACGATAATAATTCAGGCCTGTTGCTGTTTTCCGCCTGTAAATAGAACAAACTAGTAACTAATTGGTTGTAAAACAGAGGAAGTCTTACCTTCTTTTTATAAGCTGACTAAATATGAGAGGGTTCACATCATGCTGGAGAAATGTGGCCTGTATTGTTCAGAAGCTTATGTCATAAAATATGTGGCATAGTTTACAGGTAGTCCAGAAACCAGAAACGCGCTCACCTTGCCGTAAATGTGCCTTTGTCTGGGCCTCAGTAAGTTACTTTGGGCCTTCTGAAGATAACATATGATTCCCAACTCAAATCCAGCTGTTTTAGATTAACGGGAGGTACTATAACAGAAACTCCTTTTAATTAATAAAGAAAACCTTTGGCATTTCAACATGCAGCACGGTTTTCCTCCTCTCCGTCGAGAAAAGATCCATCCCTTTCAGAGTTGAGTATCTGGGGGATAAATGGAGATGGCTAGAGGCCACTTGGTAGCATTTGAAAGGAGAAGAATCAATACTGAACTCCTCGTTCTGAAATTCAGAGACTCTGAGCGGCCAGGGAATGTGAGCTAAAAAAAATATCCACAGGCATGTGAGGAAGTCTCAGATGTCACGGACACATGGTTTCAGCTTGTATCCAGGGAAATTTAAACTGGGAAAGCAGCTATAAACCATCTGTGGTTCTCATTAAAGCCCACTTCTCAATCTTTCACCTACAATAATGATTGTAATAATGCGAAATATACATTTAAATTGATGAAATGGTTTGGTTAAAAGAAAACTGAGGCAATCCTATATGTATATAATGCATTCCTATAAAGCAAACGCAGCCAGATTTTCGGAAAACGGGCAGCTTGTTCAGCTTTTTTTGCTTGAACACATTTCATATTGGGCTGGAGAGTCAAACAAATAATCTTCACCCACATATTCTCACTGATCTTTCACCAGGCCTGTTTTCTCCACAGCGAGGAATGAATTCATGGTGATCAGCAGTCACAATTCCTCAGAGCGTGTTTGTCTGTGGATCAGTATATCTTTGTTCTTCATCCTCTCCCCCCTCTGTTCATTCCAGGCGGGTTGCAGCGAGGCTCAGCCTGAGGAACCGGGCTGATCTGCTAATGAACTCCAGGCTGTTTCAACACATCTTTTATTCTTTATTGTTTTTAGGACCACAGCTTGCCTCTACACAGCTGACCACCTTTATTATAGCCTATTTCTTTTCTGGGAGCTACTTTTATCTCTGTGAAGCATAAGCTTCAGCAAAGCTCATATCTTGCATCACTTTTGGTGGCTTCTATAATCAGAAACTGTATTTTTGCAACACTTGCTGATACAATGCTTGTGTTTTGAGTATGGGTGGGTTTTAGTTAGTTGTTCTGCAGTTGTCAGGGCGTTGCTAAGGTGTTCTAAATGGCTGTAGTGCGTTGCTAAATTGCTCTGAATGTTTTTTTGTTTTTTTGCCACGTACATATAGGTTACTGTAAAATTTCAAAAGTGACAACCGCAATCCCCTCAGCTGACACCATGCAGTCTTGCGCGTTTGGTATCGGTTATTTTTGACCAAAGTAATAGCCTAATACAGCGACCAAAGAATCGTTATATTCCGTGATTTTAAGTAAACCATCGTCAACAGAACCGTGGTGTTTTGTTAGTGTTTGGAAGTCTGCTTTTCAGGGCACGTTCTTGACGGGTTGCCATGTCCTCGTATTATAAGCATTTATTTAATCGTCTTTGGTCTTGTTTTTTTGTTCTCAGCTGATAATGAATCCAGTTTCTGAAATTAATAAAAAGGCACGTGAAGGTCGCTATATTTTAGTATGTGTCTTATTTTAAAGGTACGCATTTGGATTTGTTTGTTTACAGAACATGATTAAGCATAAAAGGTGTGTATATGGCCTTTTAGTATGTTGCTATGTGGTTTCTAATGTGTTCTGGGGGGCTGACAGTCTGAATGGTTTTTGGTATTTCTGGTAGGTTGCCAGGTTGGTTCGGGTCCCTCCTTTAGTGTAAATCCGTGGTATTTTTTTTTGTTTATTTTAACATCTGTCAGTGAAGAAACGTATTTGCACACCTTTCGACAACATCCTGCATGATTTGAGGCATAATTTATGTCCGTAGCACAAACAGTGCAGGAGGAATTACATGCTGAAGTTAAATACTTAGTGTTATGGGTTTCTATGAGCAGTAATATGCTTGCCTTGGCAAACACCATTAACTACCTCATGACCCTCTCTAAAGCTCTGGCATAGACTGCACATGGTTTTGGCCCCGGGCCCCTAAACTGGCACCAGGGTGGCACAGTTAGCAGTGTGACGCAGCATACAAAAGCTGCAACACCGGTTGAGTTACCGTCTGCCTTTAAAGGCTTTCTGTGGTTGCTGCGGTAACAGTCTTTTTCGGACCTTCTCTCTAATTGAGTCTTGCGTTTTTGTCCCGGATTCCGCAGCCAGCACAAAGCGCTGATTATCCCGGAGTAACACAGTCGGGAGGGGCAGGGGGCAGCACTTGAGTGAATGCCATTACTTTCTCATGAAGCCGATTGGCTGTTTGGTCACTGTCCTGTACGCATGGGTATAGTTTTATGTGGTCCTCCCCTCATATGTGGACCCACTTACTTACACAATAGCAGTTCAACTGAGTTCACTGACACCCAGATTAAGAACTAACACGTTACTTAAATTAGTAGACTCTCGGTTCTTCATTTACGACTGCAACCACTGGAGTGACTACGCATTGAAGAGAATTCTTACACATGACCCTGGACCACAAAACCAGTCATAAGGGTAAATTTCTCGAAATTGAGATTTATGCATCATCTGAAAGCTGAATAAATAAGATTTCCATTGATGTATGGTTTCTTAGGATAGGACAATGTTTGGCCGAGATACAGCTATTTGAAAATATGGAATCTGAGGTTGCAAAAATATCAAAATGCAATGCATATTACTAATCAAAAATTACGTTTTGATATATTTATGGTAGGAAATTTACAAAATATCTTCATGGAACATACATGATCTTTACTTAATATCCTAATGATTTTTGGCGTAAAAAAAAAAATTTGATAATTTTGACCCATACAATGTTTTTTTGGCTATTGCTAAAAATATACCCAAGCGACTTAAGACTGGTTTTGTGGTCCAGGGTCACATATTATTGGCCGTCAAATCACTATGGAAACAGAATAATGTTTTGCCATGTGGCATTACATTACATATTTCGGAATGACCCAGAATGCAACACGCAACTCTAACATGTTATTTGCTGCACGTATAAATGCTCTTCTGCTCTCGATTCAAGTCTGCAGCCTCAACCCAACTTAAACTGGTCCAATACGTCTGGAATGTTCCATCATAAGCCCAATCACACTTTTACCATTCCATCGCGTTTTGGTTGACACTGCGGCCAATAAGAATGCAGAAAGGTCACGTCATGGGAAGCGTAATTCAATTCAGTGGTGTGCAACTCGTTCCAAATCCCTCCATGGACGTCGGCTGAACTGTAAAGTCATCAAGTTCATTTCATTGACTTAATTGAAGGTTTAGGATGAAAAGATGCAGAGCATGATTTTTTTCATTTCCCAGGACACAAACAAGTGCTTTTCAGTAACTCATTAAAAAACCCATACATATACATATGCACAAAATGCAGTAGTTCTATGAACTGGTGCACAAACACTGACTTGCTCTACTTTAGATTCTGGTTTTCGCTGCTTTTTGTGGTTATATAACTGTTTCCAGAAACTCTGGGCTATCGACACAAGGAGAAGCTTCCAAACGCCTCTGAGGGTAGCCTCAAAAAAACACAAGATTTATGGCTGTGCTGTGATACTTGGGCAGAGTCAGCGCACATCTGAGGCCCTGTGCCACTTCAATTCACCCTCATAAAAAATACAAGAGCAAAAAACCAAATAACAAAATCAGGGCCATTGCAGAAACCACACCTCACCAGGAAAACAGCAGAGAACCAGTCTGACTACAAGGAAAAAGGAGAAAATGTGTTATTCAATCCTAATAACACTGAAATCAGTTAGAATTTATAGATAACCGAGCAGCTATATTTAAATTTAAAGGCAATAATGGTCAAAATAATAGTAGACATTTAATATTTTATTTATAACATAGAATTTATTCATAAAAGAACCATATGACAGAGGATCTATAATGAAAAGCAGGGCAATAAATACAATGGGAAAGATTTTCCAATATTATGGCACAAAAAACTAAGCAATAGCGGAATTTTTTTGGTCGTCCAGTCAGCTAATCTTTAAAACGCTAACATTTGTAAGCTTGTAATAATACCAGGCATTTGGAATTCTAAACGGAATGACTTCAAATGGAATGACTTAGGAAGGAATGTCTTCGGGAAGGCTTTCAGTCCATAGCAGTTGGAGCAGAGCGGGATTTCAATGGCGGATGAGCTTTAAAACTAGCGATAACGTTTCGCTCCGAGATGCAAGGCCAAAATAAACTCAAAACACAAGGCCTAGGGTGTAAAACAAAGAATCGTACTGCAAAACTAGAAAATTATCTTTACAGTTCTCCGTACTTCATAAAAAACACTTTATAAAAGAAATTATAAAAGATCAATTTCACCATTGTTAAGATGGCAGATTTGAGATATCACCACTCACGATTGTTTACCCAAACACATGCGCTGGGAGGGAAGGGGTAACTGTGAGAAGCAAAAGGCATAGCAAAAGACTTGCTCTGTTGATATACATCATGTTAATACTGCTTTGACTAACAGCGCAGCAGCGTTCTCTAGTAGTCGATGCCCTGGTCGTTGTAGTGCCCTCTGTACTCGTCGTGGTATTCGCCCTGGTACCCTTCCTCTTGATATTCTGCCTGATAGTCACTATCGCTGATTTCTGAGCCATTCGTTCCCGTGCCTTGGCTGCCGTTGGCATGAATCATGGGCTCTGTAGGGGTGGCGCAATACTTGGGGTCGTAAACTTGCCGTCCCAAGCCGTACACGCTCATGCCCTTCTGAGAGGCTACCTTATTGGTTCCCATTTGCAATGAGATGGTGGAGTTGTCCAATGGTTGCAGAGCTGCCTTCTGGTCATAGATGTCCCTCCTGGTTCCTGGGGCAGACATGCCAGCCTGGAGACAGACACATAGTAAATGTGTCATTTTTGATCATTTTTGTCTGATATATTGTTGATACATGTCTGTGTTTGGGTATACCTGGCTAGCTCCTTTGTTGGTGCCCATTTGCAGACTGATGGTGGTCTGGTCATAGGGTTTCTCTGTCTGTGTCTTGGGGTCGTAAAGGTGTCTCCTGGTCCCGTAGGCGGTCATACCAGCCTGGCTTGCGCATTTGTTGGTTCCCATCTGAAACAAAAGTCAGAAACAAAAGTGGGTTAAAACACCCCTGGAGATGATCTACCTTGAATTTTCTCCAATCAATCTGGTCCTGCAATCAACCTTTATCTGTAGAAACCATTCCCAGAAGCATGTCTGCACTGATATTGGTTGAGTTGCTGTTTCTAATCTGGACTTGTAACCGAAATGTTGTAGGTTCAAACCTCACAATGAATGATCCTTGAGTACCATTCTGGTAAAAGGATCAGCTGAACGACCAATTCTCAATGATTAGGCTTCCTTTAAACCCATTCATGCAGAAACATTCAAGAAGTTCCGGGAATAGTGTCTATAACCTGAAGTCCGATGACACACTGGCCAGCCTTCATCTTCTCTTCATCAAACTGTCTCTGCTGCTTGTCTGCATATTTCACACCAATGTCAATGTTCGTTTCCATGCCTTTGGTCTTTGCCTGTTGAAAAAGAAATAAACATTTTATAGTTGCAAAATTTAGGCTGTCAATAATATTTTAAATAAATTTTTTTTAAATGGAACCTATCAACCAGATGTCAACATTTACTCAAGGAAATCCTTTATTTTTAATATTTCTTTAAATCTCTTTTTACTTTTTACCAATAAGACCCAATGTAAGACTCAGGTTGAGCAGAACGTAAGGACTTGAAGACGTACCATACTGGCCAGAGCGAGAAGTGTGGTCTGGACTTGCGTCATGTTCCCGTTTTCGAAGAGGTCATTGGCTTCATAGATGTCATTGGGCTTCAGCCCGTAGGCTAGAATGGCTTTGATGAAATTCCCAAGGTTCTCTAGCTGAAGGTACAATGGCAACAGTAAGGGTATGTTTCTCCATAACATCATTGGTTACCTCATTTTCAGATAAAAGAGTTAGTTTTGGTTGATGAGTCAAAGAGTGCATGAATGGGTCCATTTATTCTTACAGCATGTAAAGAGCTCTGATACTAGAGTTTTTATATACTAAAGATGTATCTGCAGTTGTTAGTAGCTTCTGCCTGTCCTAGTATTTGCCAACAATGTGATTTTGTATGCTGTATTGTAAGTCACTTTGAAAGGAAAGTGCTTCTTACTTCTCAAACGGGCTAATCTGGATTAAAAAAAGCCCGTAGGAGCCTCTGAGATATTTACCTTATGCCAGTTTAACTGTGAATGGTTTATTTTCTTTATCGATCCAGGCTGAAGCTTGTTTATCAATCTGAAAAGAATAAAAACAATGAATGATTTCAATTCATTTCTTTTTGCAAGCATCTTCTATGGGCACAATAAAGGTGTAAAGTAAGTAATTTCGATTCTACTAGCATCGCCCAATGGAATTGCCAAAATAATGATTGTTTTCATACAGGTTTTCTGCCACTGGTCACCCAAACAGATAGTCTTGGCCCAAATGTATGCCATTGGTTGAGCCAGTGTCATTATGTATGGCCAGGATGCTCAAACAAGCTTTAATAGTGCCATAAATAGTGTTTAGCTGGTTTAGCTGGTCAGACAAGTGGTCTCCCAGTCTGACCAGCTGAAATGTTCCCAAAACCGACCAACAGACCAGCCTGGGAGAAACTCTAAGGCCAGCAAACTAGCTTAGGCTGGTTAAAACGGTTTTTGTTTTCAGCAGGGAAACCTTGCCCACATGGCCAAGTTATGTTTATGTTTACCAACTTACTCGCACAGTATGACGCCATCCTTGAGCCCTTTCTGAAAGTGGTCTCCGATCGGCATTCCAGTCACCTCCTCGATCCAGAATCGAAGCTCCTCCTCCTTCTGTAGGTCATATTTCTGTGCGATCTGTGAGAAGAAATAACCCAATCAGTGAGTCCGCCAACAAACATCAGTCATTTATGAGTCAAACCGGCTCTGCAGGATCACAGTAATGTGTCCTGGACAATCTTCCTTTAGATTCTACTGTAATGTGTCAGCATACATGCTTATCTAAACTATTATAATGTCAATACACTTTGCTGATCCTCACACAGAACGTGTTTAACAAAAAAACACACCGAAACAACAGTTTGAAACATTTAAAAGGCCTGTTTGACTTTTAAAAGTTGTATTAGAGCTAATGGAAAATCATCAAATGCAGCCTAATTAAATCGGATTGCCTATAAAAACTATTTTCTGGCTTTGTTTGGCTTTCTCCTTTGTGAATGGTGTTCAAAGCACCTACGTGCGATTGTGCCAACAACAGAGCATAAAATTCCCACAAAGAGTCACAGCGTGAATCTATTCTGGCCGTTTCGCTCTTTCTCAGGACTTTTCTGACTGTAAATAGCACCGTTGACCAGCTGATATTGAATAATGTGCTCAGAACGGACAAATATGACTAACAGCAGATCTTTACAAAATGCCTGAATGAAATGTGAGATGGTTTCATTTGCTCCTTCAATCAATGTTAAGTCTGTTTATCGTGTAGTAGGTGATGAAGTAAATCTTAGAAAAGTAATTTGAGGCATCAAAGTTTAATAAGTTAGAGTTAGGTTATTCAAATCTCTAAAAATAGTAAAAGTCAAACAAGCCTAAGCGAGCACTTTTCATTAATACAGACTTTCTGTTTTCTTCTTCATGAGGGCTAGCTATTACTTCAGCTTCAAGTGAAACCCTTCAAAAATAGTTTACATATTTTTTACGGGATATTAAATAATTCAGTTTAAACACAGCAAGTTTAAACCCATTTAAAGTAGCTAATAATACAAGTTCCAGGAAACGGCTTCTATCACAGAGGCTCCATTTCGAGTTCAGCATTCAGGGTCAGACTGTACAAAGACAAAGCTAAATGCGGCTATCATACAGATCATGAGAGAAAGGGACAAAAGGACCTACAGGGGAAAAGGGTGGATAAGATATTCTCAGCAGGAGGTGTTCAGGACAGAAGATGTCTCTCTTTCCCGTCAAAACATGATAACGGCTTTCCTCATGGCCTTCTGTCTGCTATCTCAAACCTTATTTACAGCACAAACACAGTCCTAACCCTTTCACAGAGATATCTAGCTAGAGTTCTATGTTTCAGTTTCTAGGTTAATTGCAATACCTGCTTTTCCTTCTCAGAAGTAGAGGGAAATATTAGCATTCACAGTATTTGGTCTTGTACCACGATAATTCCATGTTTTGGAGTCACTGTGAAAAATATTTTATCAGGTAACATATGTGTTTTATTTACACTACTGTTCAAAAGTTTGGGGTCTGTACGTTTTTTTTTTTAAAGGAGTTTCTTAAGCACACTAAAGGCTGCATTATTTGAGCAATCAGTAAAACAGTAATACTGTGAAATATTACATGTAATAAAATGTTGTACTTATTTTCTGTGTTAATATATTTTAACAAGTAATTTATTCCTACGATGGCAAAGCAATTTTCACCATCATTACTTAACGTTTACAGTCTTCAGAGTCACACGATGCTTCAGAAATCATTCAAATAAGATGATTTGCTGCTCAAAAAACATTTATTGTTATCATCAGTGTTGAATGATCTAGAAAGAGTAAAAAAAAACAGCATTTATTTTAAATAGAAAATACATTATAATGTTAAAAAAATTCTGTCACTTTTGGTTAATTTAATGCATCCTTTCCTTGCTAAATAAAAGTATTAATTTCTTTCAAAAAATCTTACTGAGCCCAATTATTATTCAACTAAATATAACAACATGTCATTTTTAATGTTCAAATTAAGTAAAAATAGCTCCTTAGGGTATGAAAATACTATGGTATTCATAATATAATATAATAATATCATATAATATAATAATATTCAAATCACTTTCACAGACTTTTAAATTAACTGTTCCCTCCTGGTGGAATGACCTGCCCAACTCAATCCTTAGCCGTCTTCAAGAATCGGCTAAAAACAAATCTCTTCCATCTTTATTTGTCCCTCTAACTCTAGCAATCTCTATTCTAATTCTATTCTTTAAAAAAAAAACTTGCCCCTTTTAGACTTGCACTCCATTCATTAACTAACTGCTTGTTTACATTACAAAACTAACACTAGCTTCTCTATTCTTTTTATTTATTATACAATTAACAAAAGCAAAAAAGGCCTCTAACACTAGCTTGCTCTATTCTTTTTATATTCTGTTTTCTTTTTATTTATTATATAATTAAACAAAAAACCTTGCTACGTGTACTACGTTAAGCTAACTGAGACTTGTTATAGCACTTGCGTATCATTGCTCTTTTGTTGATTTTGATTGCTTCCATTGTCCTCATTTGTAAGTCGCTTTGGATAAAAGCGTCTGCTAAATGACTAAATGTAAATGTATTCTTTGAAATACCATTTAAATGCTATGATATATGAATACAATACTAATTTAGAATCGCAGTATATAGGAAAGATGTCTCAAACTGTACTGAGATCATACTAAAATCACTTTGGTATCTTGGCAAATCTATTACCAACATATTATCTGAGCTATGATATCCACATACTTTATACAATTGTCTCATTTATGCCTATTTTTATTCCTCCTAAAGGATTTGAAGATATAGCTCGGAGCCCTATAAACTTCCATAGAAGGCCTCTCAGCAAGCTGAAGATCAATCAGACATCCTCCCACACTGCAGCCCGGCAGTCAGAATGTGAGACCACTAGGAAAAATGGCGTGTGGGGTGTTGTGGCTGTTCCCTTGTGCAATTTGAGGTCAGCCGAGATGACTTTTCTCCTATAATGACAGACAAAAAGCTAAACCATTCACAGTCTCTCATCTTTGAAGAACTGCATGACTTTTGGCATGTTCCAAATAGTTCAAAAGAGCACCGGATGATTTCAGACGTAGTGGGAGACAAAGAAGGTTATATCTCTGATATAATGAGCCATTGACTGGGGTGATTTATATTAGACATGAATCGGAAAAAATCAAGACTGACAAAAGGACTCCACGGAGAAACTGAGCAAAGATTGGAGAACCATGTGTCTGTCTTGTCTTTCCTCCAGTCCACTGGGAAACCAGCCAGTGGTAGAAAAAAAGAGAGAAAAATGTGGAAAAGTGACCCTTGATGGAGATGTTAGAGGCATTTGTAGAAGAAGAACATTCTGGAAGGTTGTGGGCCAATCCCTCTAGAGACCGACCTCTAGCTCTCCTCCCCCACTCATAATTCTGAGAGCTTACTGATGACAGCACAAAAAGCAAACAAACATCGGACAAAAAAAAAAAGGTCAGGGAGTGAAAGGACTCGCAACGCGATGCAATCAATTTGACAAACAGTCCCTGAGAGATCGATGTCAACCGTGGTGACAACGGAGGAGGGGAGGGATGAACTTTTCACCTTGGGTTTAGGCTAAAAAACACATACAAATACAGAAACACAAAGTTTAGCAACATGCAAACAAATCTACAATCCTCCAAAAAAAATCCTATTTGTTTAAAAAATAAGCATCACTTCTCTATTAGTAAAAGAATGAATTATTCAGAAGTGTGCATAACTTATTGTGGCATCATAATAGCTAACTTTGCAAAAACAAACTTGTTAAACGAACAAATGTTCGGACTTTATTTTCTCTGACTACTATTGAGTACTGTGCTGAAATCAAGCGTGCTTGTTTAATCACATGTGAGCAACTAGTCCAGCCAGCATTAGGCAATATTTAACCATGTGCTCTGGAAATACCCCAGCTACAACGAGGAAAGATTTGCTCTACTATACCTGTAAAAACAAGTTATTTTTCAGATCTGAAAAGGAACCGTTTAAGTCACAAACTGACAGACATTTGTCCTGAAAAACAGTAACTAGATGTTTACATGTCGAAAGTGTGTGTAATATTAGCAACCACATTGCTATGGCATTGCTAGATAAAAGCTAGGTTGTTCTAGTGATTGCAATGTGATTCTAGGGTGTTCTGATTGGTTGCTAGGGTGTTCTGAGTGGCTGCTAGGTGGCTACTTACTAGCTTCAGTCAAACAAGCCCATCCTCACTACATTTATTAACATTTTATTAAGAAAATGTGTGTAATATTCAGAACCACAATTCTAGGTTATTGCTACGTGATTGCTAGGGCGTTGCTAGGGTGTTCTGAGTGGTTGCTAGGTGGCTACTTACTTGCTTTAGTCAAAAAAGCCCATCCTAACTTTGTTGTTTAACATTTTACTAATAAAATGTGAGTAATATTTGGAACAACAATTCTAAGTTATTGCTAGGTGATTGCTAGGGCGTTGCTAGGGTGTTCTGAGTGGTTGCTAGGTGGCTACTTACTTGCTTTAGTCAAACAAGCCCATCCAAACTTTGTTTTTAACATTTTATTTAAAAAAATGTGTGTAATATTTGGAACCACAATTCTAGGGCATTGCTAGGTGATTGTTAGGGTAGTGTTTTGATTGGTTGCTAGGTAGTCGCTATGGTGTTCCGAGTGGTTGCTAGGTGTCTAAATCAAAAGAGCCCATTCAAACTTTGTTTGGTGATTACTCACTAAAGTTTTCCACCTAAGTATAAAAAAATAATAATAATGATGATGATTATTGGTGACTTCTTTTGAAGTCATCACCACTCAAAACGACAATGACAGAATGACACATTTTTTCCACAAAGCTTTTAAATGCATAGGAGTGCAAAAAATTCAGTTCACAGGCAACTTTTGGATAAAAGGCTTTCAAACCTTCAATAAACGTTGATAATCTTTTTAAATAAGTGTTTAAATAAGCCTGGTCTATGTTTACACTGTTATAAAATCCTGCTGAACAACAGACCCAAAACAATAGCCTCAGGAAAACACGCTTTCCTGTTCCTCCTAAAATGGCAACACGGGGTTAACAACCATGGCCACACTTCACAGAGCCTTAACCAAACCTGGAAAATAT